AGTGGCCATTTTCGAGGGTCACATGCCCAAACGGCCGATGACGGATTATCTATGAAAAGGCATGCGCGTGACTCCCCAGTTCACACTTACCTACACATCGCTACAAAACACTGTACTACGCACTAGCACACTGATGATGTCACCCTGACTGGTGATGAAACGTTTGCTAAATAATTGCCAACCTCCGAGAACAACCTGAGCTACCAACATTTACTGCTATATCACAGAAGACCGATTCCAATGAGATGTGGACAGATAGTATGATAGATAGTGTTAGAAGCACATGCGCTCAAACAAGGTTGGTAGCATCTGGTTCCAGAGCTGCCTATCACTACGGCCTCCATAGGGCAACCACAGGACGCCTGTGCTCAGGAGAGCCTTGGGAGGCTTGCGCTGCAGTACCCACAGCTTCAGCCACACACATATATCCAATGTAAATCCGAAGGAATGAGACCGGGAGGTATGTGGTGGAGAGTCACGTTTCATCAACGGAGCTGAATCATAATCCTTCGACGTGCACATCAGCAACATTCCTGTCTATTCAAGTTAGGAATCACGCGTTCCAAACGCACAGAAGACGGTGTCTGGGCCGCAGTCCACTCGATACTGGATGCATGGAACCAGCAAGTCACGAGGACCATGCAGCTTGTACCACACCTAAGCAAAGATTAGCAGTCTCTTGGAGACAGTAATCGAGGTGGAGGGTATTAGACAGGTAGGCATTTTGACAACATTTACAACAACCACAAACAAAACAAAATTTGAAGGAAAATAAACATGCAAAATTGACAAGGAATATGCAACAGAATAACATAAACGTGAAATACCTTTTATCCAGGTTAAGACGATCTCGTTTAAGTGAAAGTCGGTGTAGCCCAACGCGTTCAAATATACACACATCCATACACGTATTGAAAACACTCACTCACTTCGGTGGCTAATGCTGCTATATCATTTGGAAAGAAGTCGCGCACGGCCATTCGCGCTGCCAAGCGTCCTTTCGCTCTAGCCAACAAAAAACTCCGCGCGTTAAACTTAGATCCCAACCATGGATCCGGCCCGAGACGAAAGTCAGGGGCATCAGGACAAGGCTGAACGCAGGACATTAAACTGCGAATAATGGAAGTGGGATCACGATGCTTTTTGAATGGAGGTTCAATGTCAGCGTCGGTGGTTTTCCGACTTGATGTTGTCGACACATATCGACGAGAGGAGAATACTGGAATTGGGGGCCAATTCGTACAACGAAGCCTCGTGAAAATAGACTGTAAAACAAATGAACACTTGTAAACGTGCAAACAGTGTTTATGAAGCGAATGTGCTTGGGCTGTGTTATCTACTAACGAAAATCGCAACGTATAAAAGAAGAGGAGGATGGGTTGGTGTAGGGGATGTGCGAGTCAGCGGCGTTTCAAATGAAGCAAACAGGGTATCAAGGAGAAGCTTTAAACCAAAAGTTTATTAAGCAAAAAGTGAAAGAGAGTTCGCGCGATGCAGTGGATTTCGGCGTTGCACTTTCCTCTTGGTTTGGACTAATCAGACAGAGATAGGCACGGCGACTAGGGCATTGAGCTCCGCGATGCAAGGTAAGAAAACAAAGGCACTTTGGTGCTGGCCAAAATCAGCGATCCGTGATGAGGTCAGTGTTTGAAAAGGAAAAAATGCTATGGAATCAGAATGCAATCCCAGCGACATCCGGAATCCCTCTTGGAGAAGCATTAGCGAACATAGTGAGAGTGTATGCCCAACCGTGTCATACAATTAGTGTGGGACCGTAGCATACCTGATTTCAGGAGCCCGGCACACATTTGATCAAAGAAGACAGAGCGGACTCAATGCTGTATCGTTGAAGTGGGCTTTCATAGAAGCTTACCGACTCTCCTAAGAAAATGCTAGTCGTGTTCAGAAAGCAGATGCCGTACTCAAAAAGAACAGAGTAATTTGATGCTAACGGATAATACAAACAAACAATGAAGAAACGACTTAGAAGAGAAGATATGCGTCATCCATCAAAGTGAACAGCTGCCCGCAAAGAAGATACAATGTGGTTGGAGTGATGAAAAGGCTAGGCAATCCGTAACGCAACGTTAATACCAGACACACCGGAATAGTGAAAGAAAGCTTCAAATTATTGATAATACCGGTTCCAAGCACACCGTAGATCGGTGGAGCAGAAAAAGCAATTGTAGTTCACTGGCTGCAATAACTGGCGGATGTGGTGAGAGAAATTTTCTGCGAGAAAAAGGAAAGTATAAAGACCCAGAGTGATGAGGGGTCTTCATCAGCACCATGAACAGTACATCAGCCATTTGTACTAGTGCTTAACTGCCGTACAACCACGATGACCTACGGAAGGAAGAATAATAAGAGGGAGAGAAGGGGGACGCCGTAAAACCATAATGCCCTAAGCAAACATTCAGGGTCAAGGCGCCTACATCTTGTTAACAACATACTGTCACAAACAGCTGGCTTACGTGGAAAGATAAGGCGGCATCTGTGAGACAGTTTCCAGGCGACTTGCACTGCCCCGTATCAGAATCAGGCTTTACCCTGCTGATAACTCAGCAGCACATACGTTAAACAGACAATCCGGCTAGGAGATGACATCGGACGCGCCATTTATGTAGACGGCGAGCCATGTCCTGCAACGTACCAAGCGAAGTACAAGGGAGGTCGAGTGTGTTACAGTCCCCAGTCGCACCGGGGGGCTGATTGGCTGATAGAGAAAACCTGTCCACCCCGAGTGGCCGACCAAAAAGGTAAGGTCGTACATGCGGTATAATGGCTGTCAGGGACGAAATGATCACACAGCGCAGAGTAGCGACCTCTTTGGACCTTTTTGCTCTCTTCTATTGTTTACGTACCAATAATAGTATTAGATTGTTTGAAAACATTCTTTTGATCAGGCAACGCGATTATTCTCCTTGATTTCTGGGAAATGGCCGACGTTCGATCTATTTGCTGTTCGCTAGAAGATGCTCCTCCTAACAACGCGGACTCCAGCCTGGGAGACGAAACGGACTTGCAGCACCCAGTTTCATTGCGAGTGACTTCATTTCTTGCTGCCAAGTTAACTTTTGTACACCTCGGGCTTTGTGCCACCCCAAAATCTGGTAAAGAAAAATACGCCCTCCTCTCGGTAAGCGGTGAGCAAGTAAAAGTAGTACCCACTCAACCCAAAACAACTTATTCAGTGCTATCTGTTGTTCTAAGAAACTAATTTGATCATTATTGTCAAAAACTCGCTCACGCACATCATCATTGCGGATACGTTGCTGCCAGCCGACATCAGCAATGCTTCGTAAGCAATGATGATCAAAGACTTGAAGACGCCCCAGATAGAAAGGACCAAGTCTCACTCAATAGAGTAGAACGACCCTCATTGTCGCTTTGTCAATACGGTCTTTCAGAACAAGGGAAACCCCTTTCTGACGCCACAGATGTCGTAAATTGAAGAACTCACTTCTAGCTTTAGCAATATGTGAAATGACTTCAGTTGCTACGCGCCCATCTGTGTCGATGCAGCTGTCAAGGTAGGTGAAGTGATCAACTATCTCGAGTTAAACGCAATGAGGAGTCAAGGGGTCGTCAAGTGGCTGGGGTTCTCGAAACGGCACTTTGCATGTTGAAGGTGCGAAGCGCATGCCAAGTAATGGGACCACTCTAGAGATTACTAAAGATGTAGTAGGCAGCCCAAACATAGTTAAACAGCAAGACAATATGCAAGCTTAGGTTTGTTCTCCTAATCGTTGAAGAAGAAGAAGGGCACATGTTTGATTGGGATAGAGGGAGAGCATAGCGCAGGAAGAGACAAGAAGAGGAATAGAATTTCTCGAAGCATGGTTCTCTACAGAGAACTGGATAAACCTGCGCAGACTTAGACACGACCTACCATCAACTGCAAAAAAGAGTACATGGGTCTAAAAGAGGCGGCGATCGAACTGCAAACTAGCAGTGGTCAAGAGACGTGAAACGAAGTGGCCAAGTTCAAACATCACTCTGTCATCGGTTAATTTTTGCTTACTACGTACTGACGAAGTCACCTCGATTTGAGATGAAACGTCTGCAACGATACAGTTCGGCTCGGAGAACAAACCTAAACCTGAAAAGACAACCCGAGCTACAGGTATTCTGCTTTATTGCTAGCAAGACAATCTCTTCCGCATAATCAAGATCAATTAGCCTTTCACCGGGCAGCATCTCAGCGAGTGCATCGTAAGATTCCGCGACGGAATAAAAATGGGGAAATTGGACAACCCTGACGAATGTGATTTGCTGTCGGTAAGACATCATCATATCATTAATACACATTAGCCGAGAATGAGAAACGCACCTCAGCTAATGTGCCGCAATACAAAAAAGTAAGAGACCAAGCAATGTAGACTTAAGAGCTAGAAAAAAGTAACATAATGTCGGAAAGACGACCGACAAGTCGCTAAAGACCCTGACGTGGAATGTGATGTTCTAGTACAGAACACATAAAATGTACATATATTTCATGCGAACGCACTTCCGTAAAAGTAGCTCACAGAGAATGCATTGAACAATTGAGATGAACGCACTCACAAAGTCCAGAAACACAGTCGTTGTCGGTCTGCGGTATGTGTGGCGCTGCTCTAGTATATGGCACAAAGTGAATATATAACCCATACAGCCCTGTCCTTGGCGGGAACCCGTTTCCTCTTCCCTAATCCGATATTCTCTTCGTCTAGTGAGGAGAGAAACAAGAACCGAGGCTAGTAATTTAGTTACCACTGGCAGTAGGCTAATACATCTGTGGTCAGCACACTCGGTGCAACTGCCTTTCTTGTATGGTTTGCGGCATCCGGTTTCGCATTTGCCTGTCACTGGGGCCAGCCACAGGACGCATGCGCCTACAGAGGGACCATGGGTGGCTTGCGCTGCACCACCCACAGCTCCATCCACACACCCCATATCCAGAGTAAAACCGAAGGAATAAGACCGGGAGGCATGTGGATGGGAGCCACGGTTCATCAACGGAGCCGGCCCACACTCCTTCACAAGCAAACACAAGCACGCTGTATTAGGGGAATCAAGTACACACGAGGCGGTGGCTGGACCGTAGTCCGCTACACACTGAGTGTATGGAACCACTTCGAGCCTAGCACGACCACAAGGACCGTGCACCCCGTCCCCTCCAGCAAAGACCAACTGTCTCCTGGAGCCAGATGGACGAGGTAGTGGGTAGTAGACGGGTAGGCACCTTGTCAACATACACATCAAGCGCAGCCACAAATGGGATGTCAAACAACAGCCAATCACTCAAAATGCCGATATCGAATAAGGTAAACGCATATGACGACATAAATACTCGCTAAATGAGCATATAGAATAAATTGGTTATAAGTGAATCCGTGATAAGTACAAAATGTCCGAAATTATTTAAAAAATACTACGAGATAAAATCCCGCAAGTTTACCACAATTTGCATGAGCGACGTGGGCAAGTTAGCAGAAGATAATCAAATACGCAGAACAAACCAAATAAAGTGGAATGAATTTTATCCGCATTAAAAGGACCTACTTTAAGTGTAAGTTGGTTTAGCCCAACTGCGGTGAAGAAGCATCATGAATGCAACATCAGCCTCAGCATGGGGCACGCCTTTCTTGTATATTGTCACTATAATCGACTCAATCCAGTTAGCCGGAAAGGCCTCCGCCACTCCTACGTGTTCAAACAGGGAGGTCAGTGCTTTGCAGAAGACCTTACCTCCATCGCTAAATAGTTCAGGTGGGTGGTAATCCGGCCTATCAGCACGAAAACGATTGAGGGCTGTGATCGGGTTTATGACCGCCTCCGATGGAGCCTTATGTTATAAACGTCCTAGTTGGGTTTCGACTGCCCTAGTCGGAACGGGTGAACTCTTTCACTCGTCGGTTCCCATGCGCAGAGTAGTCTAGACGATTCGAATTGGAACGGATTGTGGACTTAGCCGGCAGACGAGAACTCGCAATTGATAAGTCAGACGGAACGCGTAAAAGCCGCATAATTGTAACGAGACCTGCAGTAAGATGACTGGTCAATAGTAAGAGTGCTGTCAAGTGGGCAGTCCGCCCCGTGCACCTCTTGACAGGGGGGCATTTTCCGACCGATGAGTGCTCGGCACCAGCTGCGAAGTGCAAAATTTACCGAAAAACTGACGCCACTCAAAGGATCATCCATTTCATTGATAATTAATGTGCAGTTTACCCGCGCCCACCGTCTGGCTTACGCATCTGTTCTGTTCTTACTCATGACATGTATC